AGAACAGATTAGTCTAGAGTATCTCAAATTTTGTGGTGTTGGGATCCCTTCACTCTCTTAAAAATTAACAAGGATTGGGGGATGGCTAGGCAGAATACAAAATATTTCAGGGCAGTGAAAATACTCTGTATGAGACTATACTGATGGATACATGTCATACATTTGTCCAAACCCACGGAATGTACAACACAAGAGTGAACCTTAATGTAAATAAACTATGGATCTCATGCTCTGGTAACGATGTGTCAATGTAGGTTCATCCATTATAACAAATGTACCACCCTGGTGGAGATATTTACGGTCAGGGAGGCTATGCATGTGGAGGTCGGGGGCGGGGTATATGAGAAATCTCTGTAGCTTATTCTTAATTTTTCTGTGAACCTAAAACTGCTCTAGAAAAAGTAAGTCTTTTTAAAAAATAAGGACTGTTGTTTATAGATTATATCTATTTATATTGACTGATTTGGAAATAAAAACTGACAAAAACTTCTAATATTTAACTAAATTACCTAATAAATCCATTAAATGTTAACATAACCCATGTTATGAAAAAAATATTTTAAAAAACAAAGCAGTGAAAAGAATGGCATTGTTTTACATTTTTGGAAAGCTTCTACTGGCTTAATGGAAGACACCTGGATTCTCACAGAAGACTTCTGCAATCAATCTGTTGCAATATGCTGTTTTGGGTGAAGTATATATCCAGTCTCACAGAGAGACACATAGTTAGAAAAGGGAGAAGTGTTAGTCTTTCAGCTAATTGGGGATATTCTACTTTGTTACTACACCAAAATGCAACTAGTGGTGGTATATTAAAGTTCGTTACAATGTGAAATATAAAACTGTATCAATGAACTTTTCTTACTGTTACATTGATACCCATTAGTCTTATCTTAAAATTTTAACTGATCTTTTCCCAATGCATGATTTTGTAATATCATGCATTAATCTTTGGGAAAATACTGATCTACTGAGTTATTACTACACAAAATTTTAAAAGTCATATTTGTTAATATCACCACTAATCTCATCAAAAAAGCCTTTAAATATTAAAAAGTTGCCAGATTCATGGTGGTGAATAAAAGTTTCCCAAATGTCTAAGTTTTGCTTGAAAGCTCGGATTTTATCACTGGCAATAACTGTCAGTTCTTTCAGTGACTGGCTCGCTCCATTCATTTCTGAGAAAATATCTGCCAAATACCCTAATCTGAATAACTATAGCCTATCGCTCTTTCAAGTAAACATGATGTTCCATGAAAAAAGTCACCAGTTTCACCTCAACTCACACAACCATCTATACAAGTGTATTACCTCAGCTACCACCATTCTCCAGCAAGCAACAGAAGTACTCTATGCAAACTTCCCATTGCACCACACAAAATGTTAGAAAGACCCGCTGCCGGGCTAAGCTTTAACACAATTACTACTCTTCACTGTTTCTTCAAGGACATTAAATGTAAGTATTTTATTTTAACAAGTGTGTGGCAGTGAGGAATACAATATCAACTACTGCTGTGGTTTGGTGACACTGCATTGATTTCTGCTAAGGTGCCAGCAGTTTTATCTGTCATTGCTTTTATACCGATAGTGCACATGACAACACAGCACAAATAAGAAAGGCAAGTAACTCCTTAAAATTATCATGAAAATGGTTTATCTCTTGGGCCCCTAAAAGGGTCTTGGAGATCCTCAGGAGACCACATTTTGAGAACCACTAGACTGCTCGATAAATGGAACTGAGACAACTGGTTGTCCATGTGGAAAAAAATAAATCACAGTCCTATTTCACATCATAAACAAAAATAAAGTCCAGGTAGATTTTTTTTTTAAAGCTAAATATGAAAAGTAAAACTTCCAGAATAAAACTTCCAGGATATCTTATTGACCTCAGAGTAAAATTTCTTAAGCAAGGTACAGAAAACATCAAAAATATACATAGACTGATAATTCTGATGACATTAAAATAATAATAATAATAATAATAGTAATAATATATTCTGAACATCGAATGTCACCATAAAATGAAAAAGCAAACCTTAGATGTGAGAAGAACTACTGAACTCAATAAGATGAAGATAATCCAGCAAGAAAATGAGCAAAGATATGAATAGGCAATTCACAAAAGGCAAATAATGAACAAACATGAAAATAGCTCAATCTTGCTAGTAATCAAACTGAAACTACTAATTCACACTCATTTGGAAGACAAAAATGTAAAAGTCTGATAATACCAAGTACTGATAAGGACACTGAGCAATAGCAACACTGCTGGTGGTAGGGGTGAGAACTGAGATGATCATTTTGAAAAGTAAACTGTCAATATCTAGTAAAGGTGAATACTCCTATAACCCAGCAATTCAACTCCTAGGCATATCTCCTAGAGAAACTCCTGCCTGTGTGCACAAGAACACATACACACAATGAACACTGCAGCAGTTTGTAACAGCAGAAAGCTGGAAACAACCTAAATATTAACCAAGAGGTAATGGGTATGTAAACATTGTCCAAAAAACTTTCTATGATCATGGAAGTGTTCTCTCTCCATGCTGTCCAATGCGGTAGCCACTAGCCACAGGTGCCTATTAAGCATGTGAAATATAGCTAGTGTGACTGGGGAAATGGATTTTTTCATTTTATTTGATTTTGATTAACTGATATCTAAATAGCCACACATGGCTAGTGGCTACATCAGACACCACAGCTATCTAGCAGTGAAAATAAATGAATTAGAGCTACATACATGTGTCAACATAGATAAATCTCAAAAGCATTATGTTGGATGAAAGCAACATAAAGCAAGTTTCAGAAGGTAGGACAGGGACCAGAGTGAAGTAAGTGAGGTCTAGGGTGAAAATTTTAGGAGGCACTCAGTGACCTCAAGGTCATGCAAATAATACAGGTTGGACACTTGAGAGGCCCTGGGAGTGAGCATTTCCCTAAATTTTGTGCCCTATGTGCCCTGCTTCTCTACCCTAGTTCCAGCCCTATCAGGATATATCTGGTATGATACTGTGTTGGGGTTCCCAACATCACCCCCAAGTTCAATGATTCCCTAGGAAGACTTGCAGGATTTAGCATACAGTTGTAAGCATAGCTATGATTTCTTTCAATGAAAGGATACAAAGCAAAATCGACCAAGGGAAAAGGAACATGGGGTGAAGTCTGGAAGAAACCAGGTGCAAGCGTCCAAGAGTCCTTTCTTAGTGGAATCACATGGGATGGGGACATGCTTAGTTCCCGGAGCAGAGCTGTGACAATTCATGTGAAATGCTGCCTACCTAGGAAGCTCATTAGACTCAGTACTAAGGTACTTATTGGGGGCTGGTCAAGTACCAAAATTCCAGACTCCAGAACGTAAGGTGTTCAACATAAATCACACTGTAAAAAGTTTATGTACCACGAGCCACTCTTATCATTTAGGGGCTAGTGGGAACCCTCATAAAATCCAAGTTCCTAGACATCAGCCAAGGGCCAATCTTGCCAACAGGCCTTTCGAAGAATAGCAGTCTCAGGCCTGTTAACTCTTTTTTGCATAGATATTATTTACATAAAACTGTAGAACATGACATACAGTACTATATATTGCTTAAAGACACATGCATATAAAGATATACAACATGCACAGAAAAATCAACACCGAATCCAGGGTTGTAGTAACACTGAAGGCAAAGGGGAGAGGAGCAGGTTTGAGGCAGAGGCCTTTCAAATGCATCGCTGTTTTACTTCTTAAGCTGCGTAATGAGCAAAAGTGTATTTTGTTACTTTTCTTACAGTTTTTCGAGTGTGGGCACCTGAAATATTACATCAGAATGAAGACTCATCTGCTTATTAGTATGTGCTACTAACAGTTCATGGTTATTGAGCGTTTTCACAGTCCAGGTGCTATGCTAAGTCCTTTATATGATTTATTTAGATCTACTGAAGACTTTCTAAGTGCAAGGCCCTTTGCTAACCTCTAGAAATACACTGAGAGGTCAATGTGAGGCAGGTGAGATCTCTGCCCTCAACCAGCTTTCAATCTACTGAGGGGTGAGGGATAACAAGCATAACTTTAAAACAACATAAGATTCTGGTGCTACTAATAAAGCAGGGTAATGTGATTAAGGAAAGGTCAAGGCAGGCTTGAGAGAGAGATTTGAGTTGAACCAAAAAATGATTTGAATGAGACAACCATCCAATTATCTGAAGGAAGCAGGTTCCAGGCAGAGGGAACAGCGAGTACAATCAGGAATAAGCTTGGTGTGTTGAAAGACAGGAACTATAGAGCCAGCAGGGCTTGAGAGTGGTGACAAGAGGGAGACTGGGAGATGAGGCCTGAGAGGTCTGCTGAGGCCACCAGGCCAGGGCCTCCTAAGCCATAGCAAGATCTTAGGTTTCATTCCAAGTATGATAAGCCTTTGAAGGTTTTAAGCAGGGCAATGACATGGTTTACAACTGAAGATTATTCAGCCAGCTGTACAGATAACACATTATTTGACAGGGACATTTTCTTCATTAGTACCACAGACATAATGCTTGTGGCTGATAAGCTTTTCAGGGGCTATGAAGAAGTTGGGGCTGGGGATAAAGGATAAAGAAGTTCCACAACACAAAAAGAAAACTACAGAGTTGGAGTAAATGTTTAATTAAATATCTAGAAACTAACATTATGTCAACTTCATTCAACATTAAATTTAGGACTCATAAACAATTAAACACATTTAGAAATAATTTGAAAATTAGATTTTTTAGTCACAAAAATTTCCAAGTATGCCCACAGATTACCAAGAAATCACAGCCACCACAAATGTAAATTTTCTTATAGTCAAATAGTTTCAAAGAGAGGAAAATTCATTTAAATGCAAAAAAAAAAAAAATTTTTTTTTTCTTAATGTGAGATGTAGATACAAAAATATACCTAGCATTATGAGGCTTTAGGACTCCAGAGAGGTTACAGAGGTTGCTGGATAAGAAATGCTAGCAGCTTAGATCACTGCTATTCAAGCTTACACTCTGTGAGTTTGAACACTATCCAGATGACCCTTGGAAAGGCTTCTCTAAGGAGAGGACAGTTGAACAGAGAGACGTAAATGACAAGAAGGCATCAGCCATGCCAAGAACTGAGAGAAGAGATTCTAGGTAAAGGTTCTGCACTAGGAGTGCCATGTCAGATTTTTAAGGAACAAAGAGAGGATGAATTTGGCTGGAACAGGATTGGGGCTGGTGCATAGTGAGAAATAAAGCATGTAATAAAGACTGAAGGAAGATATGTTCCAAGATGCCCAGTGGATGTCTGAAACTGTGGACAGTACCAAAGCCTAAATGTACTGTTTTTACCTATACATACACACCTAGGACAAAATTTAATTTATAAATTAGTCGGAGATTAACAATAACACTAGAACAACTATAACAACATATTATAATAAAAGTTACATGAATGTGGGGATCTCTCTCTGATATGCTGGATAAAGGAATGATTTACCTCCTGGACAGCACAAGATAGAAAGACTTCATCTTTCTTCACAATACTCAGAACGGCAATTTAAAACTTATAAATTGTTTATTTCTAGAATTTCCATTTAATATTTTCATACCAAGGTTGACCACAGGTAACGGAAACCTTGGAAAACGAAGCCAGGGATGGGAGCTGGCTATAGTATTCTCATCCTGAAAAACAACAGAAAACCACTCAGATTATAAGCGGGAGAGTGACTGAGCCAATTTCACACCTGCACAGTCCAATAATACGGGGACTGTCCAATAACCGTCTCTTGCTTCAGGGGCCCATGAGCACCTGAAAATAGCTAGTGCCACCATGAAACAGAACTTTCCATGTCACTTAATTTTTATTAACATTTCAATTCAAAAACTGGTATGTGATTGAGCTCATGTAAAACCTTTAAGTATGCTGGGAACAGTTTGGGCATGTGAATCTACATTTTCAATTGTAAATTTTATGCAACTTAAAGCCAGTCCAACTCTTTCTAATAAAAATGTAGCTTTAAGTGTAAAACACACGAGACTTCGCAGCCTTAGTGTTAAGAATGTAAGCTATCTCATTTGTATGTTTTATACCCATCACCTGTTGAAATAATATTTTGGTTATACTGGATTAAACACAAGATTAATATCACCCGTTTTGTTTTGTTTTTACTTTAACGTTATTAGAGAAATGTACATTGGGTATGCGGCTCGCGTTATTTTTCCACTGGTTGTAGGTGGGGACAGAGAGAGTGGGTACGGAGGCGCCTGGAGTCTTCCAGGCAAGGGGGCGACGGTAGTCCGGCCCAGGCCTGTGGGCGGAGAAAAGTATCTAGATTGCATTATGCAGTCATGAGTCATGTCTGAATTTTCACGGCCCCGTTCAATGGACGGGGAAACTGTGTCCTCGGGAACTGAGTGGCAGAGGCCGGACTCGAACTCCCAGTTACAGCGTTGTCCACCTGACACCTCCCAGCGGCCCTCGAGAGGCTGAGAGCGGGATTCGAACCTGGCCCAACTCCCAGGGCCCGGGCCCCGGCGCCCAGTTACCGTCGCTCCGTCTCCCCTTAGGGGTGAGTCAACCGTTCACAACGTTCACAACGGACTCCCGGGCTGCTGGGCCTGAGGGGCCAGGAGCCCCTCAAGATAGCTCCGGGTAACGCTCACCTGCTGACAGACGCCGAAGCCCCAAACGCTCCTCTTTTCTCTTCACGCCGGCTCAACCGCGCCAGCGGCCTACTTCCGCTCCTCTCCCACGAATCCCCAGCCAAGTCTTCCTCTCCTCCCGCCCCCTGAGGCTAACCCAGCCAATCATCTCTTATAGAAACCGCTTTATCCCCGCCCCATTCCCATCTGCCAATCACTGCTGGCTCGAGCACTGCCCTGCCCACCCCCTTAAGTGAGCGCCGCGCGCCACCGCTCGGCAGTTGGCGGCGCTGCTCCCGGCGGAACGCGTCTTCCGGAAAGGCGAGGCGAAGGGAGGGCCACGCTGGTGCGGGAACCCTCAGGATTGGCCGAGAGGAGCCCCGCGCTCTGACTCCTCCCATCCACGCTCTTGATATCCGAGTCGGAGACGTTGGAGATTGGTTCCCGGTGGACACCAAAAGAAGCCAAGAGATGGTCCCGCGGCCCCGAGAGGGAGCTCCGCGGATTGGTCTGGGGAGGCTCGGCGCGCGCCGCCCGGAGCTCCAGGATTGGCTAAGGGGGGCAGCTCGCGCCGCCGGAGAGCGTTGACGGTGATTGGCCAGAGGGTGAGCCCGGCTATTTGAAGGAGACGCGCGGAGAAGATACACATCTCACTCCATAGAGGTGGTGGGAGCCTTTGTGCGCAACGCTGTCCGGCTGACCCGACAGGGCGCAGACGCGGGCCCGGCCCCAGTTCCGGCTTTAGCCGCGATCCGGTGAGGTGATGGCCAAGGTGTCGGTGCTGAACGTGGCGGTGCTGGAGAATCCGAGCCCTTTTCACAGCCCTTTCCGGTTCGAGATCAGCTTCGAGTGCAATGAGGCCCTGGCGGATGGTGAGGCTGGGCCTGTGTGGACCCACACTTCCCCCCGTCCCCCGGGTCAACCCGACCTCTCCATCAAATAACCCTTCAATTCGTATCTCTGTCCCCCTCCCCGCCAGCTCCAGCCTCCGCGTGGAGACTACGTCCTACCCCGACCCCGCGGCCAACCCGACCCCCTCAGTGCCCACGGATACTTCCGTTTCCCCCCATGAAGACCTCATCATCCCCTCTCTACCTTTTTCCTGTGTAGCTCTTGGGCTTCCTATGTAGAGACCTTCTTAGCCGCTACTCTTTAACTTTCAGAGACCCTCAGCCACTTCATCTTCCTTGTAGCAAGAACCCCCCAGCCCCCGCCGCATCTTCTATTTCTGTATAGATTTCTTCTATTTCTGTTCCAGCCACTCAATCCCCTCTCCTCTGTGGTGATATTCCCACCTCACTTTCTTCCTGTGGAGACTCCAACCTCTAGCCTCCTATTTTTTATTTACATGGAAACCCCCACCTCCCATTTCCTCCATAGAAACTTCAGCCTTTCCCCCATTTTCCCTGCGGAGGCCTCTCCCCCAAGCTCCCTTCCTTTTTCCCCATTGGAGCCCCTCCTATCACCCTTTTCTCCTGTGAAGACCCTCTACTTTGGCAAGACCTCACTCACCCCCATCTCCCCATTTATCTCCCAATAATCCATTCCCTAACCTGCTGGTATTTAAACAGCCCCACCCACTTCTTGTTTTTCACCCCAAGAACTTAACCTAGAACCTGGCTTCCTTCCTCCTTAGCCCAGCCCCAACCCTCTACTCTTGAGCTCCACCTGGGGAATTATAGCCTGGCATCTAGCTCCAATCTTTGAGGATAACATGGTCTCTCCAGCTCCCATTCCTCCCTCACTGTGGGCTCCGATGAACACACTCAGATCTGATGGGTGGTCTAGCCAGGCAAGCATTAGTTCTCACTGTTTGTCTGAGAGGTTCCAATTGACCTACTGCTGTAAATTCTTCCAGCACTTTAGATGGGCTGACCTAGTCCGGAGGGTAGGTGGGCTGGGCTGAGCCATGATGGCATCCAGCTTCAATCAGCTGGGAGGTCACCACTTTTGAGGCATCTTTTCCAAGTTGCTTTCACTGATGTACTTATTCATCTGTGTGACATAAAGGAGGACATAGCTCTTATCTCACAGATGAGAAGATAAGAGCCACAGTAAAAGACCTTTCTAGGAAATGTCTATATAAAAAAAAAAATCTACGGTTGCCCAGGGAGTCTTAGCATCACTTTCAGGAGGAAGTACAAGCATACCTCATTTTATTTACTTCATGGATGTTGCGATTTTTACAAATGTACGGCAAGACCTTCCACCAGCAAAAAGATTACTACTCACTTTATTGCGGTGGCCTGGAACTGAACCCACAGTATCTTCGACGTCTGCCTATTCTCCATTAGACCATTTCACTTGGTAGTTAAAGAGGCAGCAGCTGAGGAGATGGAGATCTGTGAGGCCAGAGTGTGCGAACTAGCGCCTCTTGGTGGTAGATGAGTGGTTTGCCTGCAAAGCTCGCCACTTGGATTAGCTTGGGGTTGAGTTTGAGATGTGTTTGCTTGGGTTGGGCCAGAGGATCAGTTCCTCCTTGGTTTCTCTCCTTTATAAACTATGGAGTTTACTTGTGGCTAACTATAGAATAAGCCCAGTTAAATCCTTTCTGAAACAAGGCAGGGTATAAATAAATAAAGTGTAGAATGTCGTTGTGGAATAAAGATTTAATTTTAAAGCCTGGAGGAGATGTAAGGAGCTAATAGGTTAAAGGATTCACAGTTCCCAAATGGCAGGAGATCAGGTTTCAATCAGCCTGTTTGTGCTCCTTGCATTTAAAAATGGTCGTGTGGTCATTATCTGGTACTTTTATTTCTATGAAGCCCCTGTCCTGTTATTTTTCTAATCTGTTTATAGAATCAGTAGGAAAGTTCCAAAATCAACCTGCTGATCATTATTTTTTAATAGAAACAGAATGACTTCTCCAAGGTCACATAGCTGGTTGGTAGAATTATTGATACTAGAGCTTGTCTCTAAATTCTGAGTCCAGAGTTCTTTATCTCTGCTATAACCTGGAAAAGAATGAATGCATCCTCAATTTTAGAAATAGAACATAAATAGAATTTATGTCCACATCAGGACACTCAAAGAGAGTGAAGGGTGTGCTATTATTAATTACACTGGACAATAAAGCTTTTGCTCACAGAATTTCAAGCTGGAAAGCAAAATCTGGAGATCTAGACTCTGGTTCTTCCCCTTAGGGCTCTCCATGACTGACCTGCCAGCTTGCTTTCTGCCTCTTCCTGGCCCTCTTCCCACAGCACAGGAGAATTTGTTACCTGCCTGCCTTTCAAGAGGTGGAGTGGGCCTGGCTTTAGAAGTCTCTCAGATCCCGGAGAAATTGCAGTCAGTCTTATTACCTCAACACTACAACTGAAGATCTGACAAGCTACCCAGACACCAGTCAGTTGATCTTGTTTCCCAGGGGCTCCATGCCCTTTTTGTTCTTTCTCCTCAGCATCTGGAATTAGATGCTTCCAAAACATTTAACACATTAGGTATGTTTTTTTCCCCATTTAGATGAGAAATTCAGCAGACACTGCTTGAATAAGTTATGGGGCCAGATGTTCTGACCCACAGCTAATACTATGGTCAGGCCAAGGTTCTTCTGTATAATTACAAAGATTAAGTGATACACAGAAAAAGGCCTACTAGATAAGTTTGGTTTTTTTTTTAATGGCAGGAAACAGGTTCTTCAGCTAGTTCAACTATAATATTTTATGTCTTTTATCATGGCATTGGTTTCGTTTTTGTTTTCATGCATAGTGGAGGAGCATCTTGTACAGTGGTTAGATTGTAAGGTTAGGGCATAAAGACAAAATATAATGCAGTCAAATTGCTCAGAAGGTTAGGTACACATGTTACATGTATATAATTGTGTATTCAATAGGAATGAGTTTGTGCTGATGGTGACTGATGTCCTGTATCTAATTCTACAGAGGAGTTATATTAAAAAATGAAGTCATTTAAGTATGCTTCAGCTCAAAACACTTCACCTTTAAGACGAGTCCACTATGTAGGTCCTTTCGTCTTCTACAGATGATTTTATCAGCTACTCCAGCTCTTAAGTCAATTTCTGTGTTCCTCTATTAATTCTCTGGTTACTTTCCTATTAAGGGAGCCACTGTGGCCCACTTGCCTGGCTACCCATGCATTGTGTTTTCTCTTCCAGTCAGCATCCACACAGTCTTTGTTTAGGTTTCGCTAACAGCATTGAACATCGAGTGCCTGTGGCGTGCCCAGGGCCTGCTGTATTTCAGTCTCCTTTCTATCTCCCCCCAGCACATTAGTTAAAGCACACATATGTGATTCCACTGGTGATGGGAAAGTGGCCAGAAGGAAAGATACCAAAATCTAGAGCTGTGTGAGAAAGGTGAGAACAGAGTTAGCTGGTCTGCTGTTGTTCCAAAACATGTCTAGTTGTATCACTACCTGTAACGAAAATAAACCAATAAACTTAATCTTCCCTGAAAACGAGAGACTAGAGTTTCACTGAACCCCAGTGAGCCCAGGGGTCACCTGCTGGGGTCTTACGGACCTCTTGGGGTCCCTAAGTAAGCCCGGGTGAAACTGTAAAGGGACAGGAAGCCAGTGTATCAAGGAAGAGCCTGGGGTTCAGGTAGCCAACGTCCGTAGTCGTGGCGCAGCATCAATGTGCTTCCGAAGTTGGATATGCTTGCGGGACACTGGACCAAGGAACAGCAGCTTCCAGGGGCATTTGCTTCCTGTGAAAATCACAGCTTGTGAAACTTCCCCCAGTTGCTGGAGCGGTAGGTTGTGTAATTTCAGAGAACCTAAAATAAGTTTCAGGTCTCTTGCCAAGCTTCCCTGTACTAGTGTGACCTTGCCCCTGATACACTTGGACCTCCTGCAAGAGGCAGCAGTCACTAGGAATTTCCTGTGATTGATGGGCAGGGTCTCCTTAAGCACTTTTTCTTTCATCTTGCCAGAACATACTCAGGGATAGGATCCCCTGTACTGGATGAGATGCAAGAAAGTTGGGGTTCAGAGGATCACCTTATGAGGTTACATTTGTTGACTGAGTCGCTGTTGCTGCAGTGGCCATGAGCAGGCATGACTTGGTGCTGGGTCCTGAAGACCTGGGGACTGGCTGGCTCCCTTAGTGGCCTTGTCTTCCCCCTTCTGCTGGCTGGCTCCCCTGCTAGATTGGAATCTGCCGCCCTGCCCCAGTTGTCGAGGGATCTACTCAGTTCGGTGGCACCGGTCCCTGTGTGTGAAAGAGGATGCTGCTTCCTATCCCAGCACCCAGTGGGCAGGGCCCTGAAATGGCCCAACTCCCTGCTGTTCCCTCCTCAGCACACCACTGTCACGTGGGTCTTAATTCAGCCTCTGCCATATGGTTCACCCTCAGGCTCTGAGAGGCCCAAGTTTCCCCAAAGGTGCACAGTCAAGGTCACCTGGCAAAACTAGGCCCACAGGAGAAATTCCCCACTGGACGTAAGAGCTTCCTGCCTGCCCCAGTGTTTAGGACTACAGTGCCTGGCACTTAGTGCCCAGAGGATGTCAGGTGTTACTGAGAATAAGAATCTTTTGCTACATTAAGGATCTGTACAGAACAGCACAAGAAGACCCTTTCCCTGCCTTCTTGCTGCTGAACTGTTTCAATTACTTAACACCCTTGTCCTTGCAGACTTGGAGTGGAAGATCATTTATGTCGGCTCAGCTGAGAGTGAGGAGTTTGATCAAATCCTAGACTCAGTGCTGGTCGGCCCTGTCCCAGCAGGGAGACACATGTTTGTCTTTCAGGTAAGAAAGGTGAGGCCTTAGGCCTTGACACCCAGAAGCATCCGCTTCTACCCAAAAGCACACAGTGTGGTTTGATGGTCAAAAGTTCCAGTTTAGATCCTGGCTGTGCTCTCAAGAACTGTCTGACCTCTCAAAGGTACTTCAGACACCTTCCTTTCCTCCACCTCTGTGTCATGGTTGTTACCATGAGCCACTGATTCAAAGTCGATCCTCATTATTCATGGGAATTATGTCCTGTGAAGTCACTGTGAACAGTGCATTAGTGACTATAAACCATTGTCCCTATAGGAAATACAGAGTTAGGTTCCTATGTGTCACATTTTTGTCAACCAATCAATATATAACCTTGCTTTATGTTTATTTAAAATGCCTTATTTAGTATTATTATTGTTGACTCATTAACATTGAACTCAGCCAACAGTATATATAACTTGTACCTGAATGAAGCTTATCTAACATGCATTTTCTCCATGAGACTCATCACAGCTTCTTGCATTTAGGGACATTAGATAGCACTTAGCACTGTGCTTGGGGGCCATTTTAAACAACAGAATCCTCAACAAAAAGCACAGAAATGCAAAAAAATGGGGCACTAAATAGATGACCAAAAAAACACTTGTTTGCAGTATGAGTTGAAACGAGGCGGAGCATCGCCTTGTTGGACTTAGGCTGGGGATATGCACATCAAGCAACTCAGGTTTTTCCCATTTTGTGCATGTCCTCGTATGACCATGAAAGTGCCCCCAAATATTGATTTTGGGGTTGCAAATAAATGTTAGCAAGTAGGCAAATTTGCAAATACAGAATCAGTGAATAATGAGGATCTGCTATAACTGTTAAGAGTCTAACCTAGTATCAGAAGGATTGTGAAAAATGCAGATTTAGTGTGATTCTTATACACACTGAAGTTTGAGAGCCTCTGCTTAAATCCATTCACTCACTTCCATCTCTGCTTTTCCCACCCCAATCTAAGCAGCCTCATCCATCACCTAATCCTCCTCACCTGTATCACATCCACCAGCAAGCCTTATCTACTCCACAACCATGGTGGGCTGCCTGGGTGTGCAATCCATAAATCGCACAAGGCTCTGTGCTTGCTATAATGTTCTGCTGGCAGTGGCTGAAGTGTACACATTTTGAACAACTGTGTTTTCAGTTTGTACCAGTTATATAGCCAGCCCTGTCCATAACAACATACCCGAATCTGTCCACTCTGTCCTTCTGTCTGGTCTAGGCCACTATCCTCTCTGCAGGGTATGACCCCTGCATGATCACCCTGCTGCCACTAAGGCTTTCTCCTATCACACCTCCACACACTGCCACTGGAATCATCTTTTCAGACTGTGGGAATAATACACTTACCTTCTGTTAAATGTCTCGCTTTTTTCCCCAAGTCCTTACCTGGTCCAATAGGCCCTGGGTATCCTAGTACCTACCTGCCCACCTGTTCAACCTCATGCTGCCCTCCCCGTGGCTCACCACACTCCTCCTCAGCATCATTTACTTCTTGGTGGCACCCGTCACATTCAGCATTTTACAGGCATTTGCATGATTGGGTCTCTTACCCATTCAGTTGAAAACTCGCGAGGGCAGAGGTCATACTTTGGGCTCAGTAAATGTTGTTTGAGAATCATTGTATTGCTGGTTAAGGCACAACTGTGGCAGTTGATGCTAAGGCCCAGGATGTATTTCCCCTAGGCCGACGCCCCCAATTCATCCCTCATCCCAGAGAGTGACGCTGTCGGTGTGACTGTGGTCCTCATCACCTGCACCTACCACGGACAGGAGTTCATCCGCGTGGGCTACTATGTCAACAACGAGTACCCCGACCCTGAGCTGCGGGAGAATCCACCCTCGAAGCCAGACTTCTCTCAGGTATGGCCTCACTGCACTTCCTGCTTCAGACTGGCAAGCTCCTTTGCACTTGTGGGAGTTAAGTTATTGGAATCAGGAACCAAGGTTACTTCTTAAGGTTTTCAAACAGTGCCCAGATCTTGCAACGCTGGGCTAGAATGGGAGAGAGAGAGGTCTTTGTTTCTCAGAAGCATGCCTCACAGAGTCAAGATTAGATAGGCCCCAGCCCTAAATCATGGTACACAGGCATTCCCTAGAGTCCCACACATGTTAGTGGTGGTGATAGAATAAGCAAGGTCTGCTCTTCCTGGGGTAGGGGCTTGGGGGTACCCTGGCTCTGGGGGTAATGAGAGGGAATGCTGACAAGTTGACGTTCTTCATCCCGCTCAGCTCCAACGGAACATCTTGGCCTCAAACCCCCGGGTCACTCGTTTCCACATCAACTGGGACAACAACACGGACAGTCTAGAGGCCATAGAGAACCAGGACCCTGCCCTAGGCTGTGGCCTCTCCCTCAGCTGCACCCCTATCAAGGGCTTGGGGCTCCCTGGCTGCATCCCTGGCCTCCTCCCTGAAAACTCCATGGACTGCATCTAACTGGGGGACTCCAGGCCCTACTTGGGCCCAGCCGGGACTGCAGCCGGTCTCCTAACACATCTGGAAGGGGCAGCCGGGCCTCCTGGAGAGTACTGTGGAGGCCATCTGGAGGATTTTGGGGCCATCCACTACATCCAGGCCAGTCAAACTTGTCCCCAAGGAAGGAACAGGACTCAGGTCTCTCCCAGTCCCGACCCAGAAGGATCATCTCACCTCCACTGCCCAGGCCTATAAGAAGCAGGTACTTCAGTTCTTAATTCTCTCTGACTTGTGTCCTTTTTCTCTTCCACACACTATAAATTCTACCTGCAGGCTATTGTGTCACCATGCTCTTGTACCATTGATCCACAGCTCTTTCCACAGACCTCCTGGGCCTGCCTTGAGGTTTTGATGGTCAATGGCTGGCAAGGCTCTGGCCCTGTTGGGCCAAAGGCTCTTGTCATTCCTTTCTCTTCCCAAACATCTGAGTAGATCCACCCAGCTTTCTGGAGTCACAGGCAAGGAATCTAGGTAAGAAGGTGGACTTGGGCACAATTTCAGTCCTCCTCCCAGGAAGATTTGTAGGTCTTTCCAATCCAAAAGCCCCTGGGAAACTTAGTCCCCAAAAGTGTGATCAGCAGGATGCTGAAGAATGATGGGTGACTGTCCTCTCAGTCACGACCACTTTCTTGTTGCTTCCTAACTGGATCTGAATTTCCCTAGAGGCTGCTACTGTGGGAAGATGGCATGTCGGAGGGGCCTGCTGTGCTTGGTCTGTCTCATTGTTGGCATCAGGGCCCTTCTGTGTCTGGCGGCCTTGATCTGTCTCTGCTAAGACCTCATGCTTTCACCAGCCACAGAGTGACTACAGCCCCGAGAAGCAGTAGGGACTCTGAAAAACCTTCCCTCCTGCCATGCTCCCTGCCGTGCCCTCATCCCCTTGCTGCTATGTGGACGCTGTTGTCTTTGCAGTTTGTATATTAAAGGGTTTTTATATTAAATATGTTTGGTTGTCTAAAAATAAAAGGCACTTCATCTAGACTGATTGTTTCTGCTTTTGTCTCAGATGAACTGAGGCAGCTTCGTCCATCTCCTTGAGACATGGTGGAGGGTCCAGCCAGTGGGTTGACTTCCCCTTGTCCCTTGCTCAGCTTCTTGCTCTAGTCTTAATTGGTTATATAGCTGTAATCCAGACTGAGGTTCAAGAAGGGATTTTTCTTTGATGAAACTTAATGCAACCTAGCTGTTCTGTAGATAGAGCATAATCAGTGATTTTTTGGAGGTTGACCTTGACCCACAGGAAAAAATTAACGTTGTACTCCAAAAACACACACAGCCTCACTTTTCTTAAATTTTACTTAACCTTACTTTGTAACACCACAGCCAGAGGTGGAGTAGTTTGGCTGGTAGCTATTTCCCCATAATTCGCAGAAGAGCCGGGACTCTTCCTTCCCTGAGACTATGGTTGACCTAGGAGCATGGGTGCAGACAGCAGCTGGGTATGGTGCAGCTTGTACAAGTCTATAGGCAGAGCAGGTTATCAGCTTGAGACTCACTAGTCCCTCTGAGACAAGGAGAGCCGGCTCCTCCAGTCCCCTGCCCCTCTGGGCACCTCCGGTTTGGGCTTTCCTCTGCTTCAGTGGTTCTCAACTGAGGAGAGTTTTGGCCCTCCTTCCCTGGGGGCACATTTAGCAACGTCTGGACATGGTTTTGGTTGTCACATCAGATGAAGAAGGTTCTACTGGCGTTCAGTGGGTAGTGAGACTGGGGGTGCTGCTATAGTGCACAAGAAAACTCTTTCAGCAAAGAATGATCATGGTCAGGCCCCAAATGTCGGTAGTGTGACAGTGGGAAACAATGACTGCCCTCGCGCTGTGTGTGTATAAAAAGGACACCCTGAAGGCAGGGGCATCTTGATACTTCTCTGCCCCGGGTGGGCAGGTTCCCTCTGCATTGCCAAGACAGGGGATCCTCAGCCCTGACTGTGCCCCAGATTTCTCATCTGAAAAATGGGAGTGATAATAGCACCCGCGAGATAGGGCTGTTGTGAGAAGTAATGTATTTAACAAGTACCTGCTCTTAACTACTGGTACGAGCCCAGCGTGGGCGCCCAACAAAGGGATAGACACTGGCCCTTCCCTCCCAACCTCCCCTTGCTCCTGAGGCCCAGCATCCTCCTGAAGTTCGGGCTGTGGCTGAGGGAGACCCAGGAGTCCTATCTCCACCCCCGAGCCCGCCGCTACTGTCCTGTGCCAGGCCTTATGAATGACGACGGCTGGCGGCCCGGCGACCTCTGACCCGTGGCTCTACCGTGCCCCTCCCCCGCTAGCAGGTGGACAGCGGCTGCGCGCGGAGGGGGAGTGTGTGTGTGGCGAGGGGCGGGGGTCCGCGCCGCCAACCTTGACTGGCCAGCGGCCGCTACCGCACTGAGCGGGGGGCGGGGGACTGCGGCGTGCATAGTCCAGGGTCGGACTAGCGCTCGCCTGGACCGCCTCCTGGACCTCGGAGCGCTGTGCTGCCGACCGCCAGCCTCGGCCGCCCCGCCCGGCCGGCCCATACAGCAAGCAGCGCCTCTGTCCCGCCCTCTCACCCCAGGATTGACACGGAACGTTGTGATGGGGCTGGCCGGACTGCGCGCCTTGGCCAATTGGCGGTCTTGTTGGGCGAGCCCCGGGCCCTGTCGCGACCCTCGGCCAATCAGCCTCCTCGCGACCGTGCGAGTGGCCGGGCGTCCGCGGCGCGCGTCACGGGGCCGAGATCCTATAGCAGCGCGGGAGGGTCGCGGAGGGCCAATGGGCAGCAGCGCGGTGCCGTCAGTCACGGCGCCCTGGGCCAATGAGCTCCGGCTGCGGGAGCGTCACGGACAGCAGCAGGGACTTGGGCTG